TTTCTGATCTCGAAAAACTCAAATATATTCTTCTAATTCGCCATGGCAGATTTCTAACTAAAATATTGTGCATATGAGCTACTTACTAATAGTTGATAACTGACGAAAGAAATATCTGTGTTGGTCTACACTAATCTTGCTCTAGATGCTATTTTTTCCAGATTTTCTTGTCATATAACTACTAATTTGAAAAGTGGTTGCTAACTGCTTAACATACTTGAGCAGATCAGCAGAACATTGGATTCTTTGTTGGATGAAAATGGACAAGATAGCGAATCTGATGAAACTGGCCTCCAGAGGGTGCCAAGACGGCAGGGTCAATATTATGATGAAGGTTTAGAGGTATGGACCCAAATGTACTTACTTTTTTTTGTTTGACAGGTAAGTTTGATAGCTAATATGCTGAGTACATCCAGAAAACTCGTCAAACTCTGGGCGACAAGATAAGCCAACTGAACTTGGCGATTGACAAAGCTGCCTCGCGGTTGAAACGCGTCACTGGCAATGGGGAAAATGAGGCTCTGAAAGACAAAACAGAAGTAGAACCATCCTAAGAACTTGTACCTTTTCAGTTTTCTATTATCTGAACTTCTATTTATGTAATTCAACTTCCTGAACACATAGTATTTGAGTTATGATTTTTGCTCGCGAGTCTCAACTCTACACACTAATTTACAAGTTACTCATTTGATTAAAAAACAGCTGCTCAGTAAATTCTGCTGTTCTGCTGTAAATATTTTTGTGTGGGATTCTGTTAGAAATCAAATCGATTTAAAGGGATGCATGTATCTTTTAAAACTTTTGATGTCAACTAATTGGATACTCATTCAAATGAACTTGCAGATTGGGATTTCCTCATTGAGCGATAATGAGCATGTGGTGGAAGATTTGAACGAACATGGTTTTGTTCAAGGTGAAAGTGCTACATGATCATCATTCAGGAAAAGAAAGTGCAGCAATAGTGTTGCAGGTTCATGAGGTGTGACAGAATGCACCGTTAGAATTTTCAAAATTTGCCGATTTTCAGACCAAGAAGTGTTAAGATAAGGCATGGACTTTTTTTTTTTACTTAAATCCAGGGAAAAAGTCTGCATGCAAACTGGAGAGATGAAGCTGGATGGTATGTTTAACCAACTGTAGGAAGGAAACGAATCGCATTAGCAACTAGTATATTTTTCTACTAGTGCGATTTTCTTTAAAAATTTTAGCCGTCGTGTTGAAGTAGTAGTTCTGTAATAAGCTGAGGAATCAAAGGACTTGTATTGATTAGCTTGATGCAGTCAACGTACTTTCTATTTGTTTGCTGACGCTAGACGCTTCGTGATTCCGGATGTCTATCGCCTTGCAGCTTCTTGTTGTGTCTTGTGTAGTGCCCTATTTAGCCCGTAATGAGTTTCTGGGTGCAGAGTCAGGAGGGTGCTGAGATTAGAGAATACTACTGAAACTCCTACTGAAAAATGGTCAAATTGTTCTTGTTAGCTCCACTGGGCATCAAATAACAGTTTCGTTTACATCAACAATTCATCATGCGTATCGAAACTGACTTGTTAGTTTTTCCATGAAATGAAATATCCAGCTACCATCGTGGTTCCTGAAAACTTAAGACAAACTAGCAAAAATGACCGTGCGTTGCAATGTGTCGGGGACCTAATACCAGGGTACCCCAGAAGGTGGAACCAATAACCATCGAACGTTAAAAACTTCTGGACGGACAAGGGCGCCGCTGTGTTCCTTGCCCGAATGACGAAAGTTAGGTTCTGTCTCGCCCGACGCCTTTTGGGCCAAGGCTCGCCTCGTCTGGAGGAGGACAAAGGGTCTGGCCTCGTCTCGCTCGGCGACGCTTTGGACCCAGGCCCCGCCCGCCCGAGGCAAAGCAAAGGGTCACACCGTCTCGCCTGACGCCTTTGGACCAGCCACCGCCTGCGCCCGGGGGGCAAAGGGCTGGCCTCCGTCTCGCCTGGACGCCTTTGGGCCACCCCCGCCTCACCGAGGGCAAAGGGCTGGCCTCCGTTCCGCCTGACGCCGGGATGCTCCGCCCACCCGAGGGGTGAAGGCTAGTCTCCGCCGCCCGAGGGCCGAGGATACACTCCGCCTCGCCCGAGCCAGGGGTGGGCTCGGTCACGCCAAGGGATAAGGACTCGGGCTCGCCTCGCTCGACGACCGAGGACGAACCTCGCCCGTTCGATGTCCAAAGGCTGATTTTATCTTACCTGATAACTTCTCTCCCGTTCCCTCATGATGATGGGTAAAGAGCAAGACAAGACGTTCGGGTCAACCACGGCTTCAAGGACCATACCCTGCGCCCCGGTAGGAAAGGTACTACCAGGGAACAACTGGACAGGTGCTTTAGACCCTCCCAGACGCCGCAGAGCCCAAAAGGTATTGCAGGCGCGTACTCCTCGCCCTGTAGAGTTGTAGGCGCCGCCTTCAGCTCTAGGACATGGAACCCGATGAAGATACACGACAACCACTACACTCCAGAAAAGGATTTGTGATCTCCACGAATGACGGACATGCCGTCACCACATTATGGACCCAAGGGAGCGACGCTCGCTTCCTGACCCCTCGGGTCCACCAAATCAAAGGACCTTGCCCACAACGCTACTCCGGACCTCGACTCCGCGTCCCTCCGACAGAGACTCGTAGGAATCAGAAGGCGTGCGGAACAAGGCTGGGCGAGGTCCATAAGTCAAAACCACTGTACTCCAGCCCATACCCTGCGCAGGGCACTATTCTGTAACCATCCTGACATTCTACAGAAGCATAGACAGTATTGTAGGCGCTTATCATCCTTTCGCACCCATCGGAATGGGTAACGAGGCTGGGTAGAAGTAAGCCACAAGGCTAGGTAGAGCACAGATCCTAAGCCCTGACCCTTGTAAAGCCGTCCCCTTCATCTATAAAAGGGGATGCGCTTCCTCCAGCAGGGGGACCGAAAAAACAACACAACACACATACATAGTCAAGCTGCTACCAAGTTCTTGGCTTCTTTTCGACCCTTCCATCAGAGACTTGGGACATGTCCCTCTCTCAATCGTTTGTATCCCCTACTACGAACCATTCACGGTGCTAATAACACGAGCAACAACAAACTGGACGTAGGGATATTCAGCCCGAACCAGTATAAATCTTATGTCCTTTAGCGTACCATCCGAGCCTAACGCGCATTATAATAAATTTACTTGCCGGTGCTTGCACGAAACACCGACACAATGGGACACATGGTGTATTGTATGATTCTCGGACATCACTATCTATGTTTATCGAATTTATTAATTGGGCTTAATCCAACCTTAAGTGAAACAAATAAATTTTATGACCTGCATGTTTGGTTGGTGGAGATGCACAAAGAAGAGATGCGAGTCTGTCCACTCAAATCACAGAAACTATACATATTGTCCAGCTGTTGAACAATTCCTTCGTAACTAGGAGAACAAATGATTCAAGCTTGTGTGGTTATTCGTTTCCTATAAATCGAAGGAATCAGTATGTGTAAACGTTATCAAGAGAGAAAGGTAGTAGAAAACCGGTAAAAATGTATAAACAAACTAATTTAGTCATGCACCCAAATATTTGAATTTTAATTATTTGGTACCTGTATTTTTTTGTTTTTAATTAAAAATGATGTATATGTGCAAGCGAAAAGATACGCTAAGATAGACCTGTAATATAGAGAAAAAACATTATTGTTGCCTGAAGCACAACAGATCTGCAATCTGCTCACAAAAATCAAACATTAAATCTTTTTGGAAATGTTTTTGTATTGAAAACTGATTTGTATTGTCATCTTAAGTAATTATGAAATTAGTAGTAATTTTTTTGTAAAAACGAAATACTTATAACATTATTTTGAAGTAGTCTTTAATCTGGTGGGATCTATTTGCAGTTCACTATAGATGGAGGGTAGCTGGCTATGCATATAGAATAAAGGTAGGGGCGGGATTGAGAAATAGGCAAGCACTATGCTGCGCACCCAGTCCATGGGCCGTGGACCAACGGCGGGACGAGGGTGCGGTCCACCACGGACCGTGTCCACCACGAAGGGTTATGGGTTTTTTAATCGTGGCCATAGATCTTAGAATGGACGGATAAGTATATCTTTATTTATATCGGCATTTAGAAGGTATATCTTAATTTATTTTTTTAAAGGAAAACAAACTTATTTAGGCGTGACGTAAACGTGATGTCATAAGCTAACAAGAAGCATTGGAGCAAGGCACACACGGGGCTGCTTGCTTCGTTTGCTCTCGCGTTGTCGCTGCACGCGTGCAATGGGCGGGGGCGTGCGCCTGCGCGGCTGCGCGTGCCTACGAGTGAGCTGGATTTCTTGCACGAAGAGAGGCGGACGGGCCCAACACGAATCCGGGAAAGGAAGAAAAAGATACGAAACAAGAAAAAGATACGGATACGCCGGACAGAGTTGACGAAAAAAATTTATGGTAAGAAATTTTGTCTCTTTATTATTAGATATAGATATAGAACAGGAGGTTACTTGAGTCAGGAAGGGTGTGCCGCCATGACACCACGAAGTGAAATTGAAATAAAAATATACAGCTATTACATATAAATACCGTTTGTAAGTTACATGAATGTTAAACAATTCAAGGTGCGCTGGGCTTCTAGACTTCATAGTTGGCAGCCGGCCCCAAAACTATCGGAAATCTATGCAACCACACCAGCCTGTTGATGACTATATTAATTATTGTAAATAAATATATCTGATTAAATCGAGGCAACCAGGGCCTTTTTATGTGGGAAAATTTGAAGACTGCCAGCCTCTCTTTCCTCTTGTCTTCGCCATTCGGAGGCCTGTTTGTCCTTCTCTTACACCCTGTGCTAAAACGCCGGGCATTCGTTTCCAATCAATGGCAACTCGCAAAACCCATGCCATTAATTATTCGATGAGAAATAAATCAAATAATTATGAAAGAGACAGCAAAAAAAATCACACATCATCACGAAGACAACCAAAAAAAATCAGCACTCCATGATGTTTCCGATCACGGCCACCAGAGGCGCAGCTCCAGGTCGACGTCATTGTCTTCCTCCTCCTCGTCATCATCATCACTCACGTGGCAACGGTCGTGCGCGGGCGCCAGCGCCACCGGCCCGGAGAGCAGCACGTCGCCGCTGGGAATGAGGACCGCGCCGGCGGCATTGGAGTTCAGTATCGGGTACAGCACCGCGTACTTCGCCGCGGCCGTGGTGGCGTGGGGCGTCTCGTCCGTGGCCAGCGACGTCGCGGCGCCTCCGAGCTGCAGCTGCGCCGCGGCGCTGCTGCCGCCATGGTGGCCGCCGCGCATCCTGGCGCGGTCCCGGCGGTGCACGTTCATGTGTGCCACCCAGTGCCTGCGCGGACTTGAACTCGCGGCGGCAGAACGCGCACGTATACGAGCGCGGCGGCCACGCCCCGCCGAGCGCGTCGTCGTCCTCCGCGACGTACTCGGGCACGTGGCGACTGATAGCTCCCGCCGTCGCTGGCCAGCCCCACATCACGGCGGGCTTCAGCCGGTGCTGCAGCAGCTGTTGCTGCTTCAGGAACTGGTGCAACGTGGTGTGCTTTACGTGTGCATGCTCTGTGCTGCTGGTAGGCGCCATTGATGGAGCTAGCTCTCGTGCTTTCTTCAGTTCACACGGCGACGAGACATGCGGGCGGTTTCGTTGCCGGGTATTTATACTACTAGCACAGGGTGGCTGGAGTGAACAAGAGACAACAAGAGGAGGAGAGCTTTGGTTGTGTCACCGTGTTATGTGCTTTTGTTCCTGTCTGCATAGGTGAGACACGCAGAAGGCTGTGCACAATTGCCATGGGTTGTATCACCTGTGGATTCTGGGGCTCAGCCGTTGGAAGTTGGAATAGCTAGGGTAGGAGCTCCAGCCACAGCTGTGGTGCACTGCCTTCTTCGGTTTGGTTGCAGTACGCTTTTTGCATCTGTGTTGGGATCAATGAGGTCTAGAATCTGGGTGAAAATGAAGTACCATGTTTCATTTTGTTCTGGAATCACCAGTATTAGCAGCTGTTCTTGCATGGTGCCCTATGTTTTTGTTACTATTCCGTACGGCTAATCAGCAGAGACAAGAATTTCTGCAATAACTATGTAACCGGACTATGATAGATCAACTATAGTATGATAGTGTATTTGGGTGAAAACTCGGTCATCGTCGGCCGATCAACGAGATCGCCGAACGCCGCCGCCGCCGTCGCCCTCGGGCACGGTCAGGTTTCTAGCTCCCGTCTAGTCCTTCACGGCTCCTGTGTTTGCTTACAAAAGGGGGCCACAATGGGCTGCCTTCGTATCTGGGCCACGCAGGGTCCATTTAGTTGATCCAGTTTGGCCAAAAGGTTCGACTACTGGGCTTCTTCGTACGTTTGGCTCCTGGGTTCCTTCCTGCCAGCTCTCCTCCAGAGATTGCTTCCCCTTCTTTGCCTTCATCAGGTTCAGTGATCTCGCCATCAGCAGTGGTCGTCGCCGTGGCGTTGGTGACATCCCTTCCTCCTTTAGAACCAGCTTGACCCCAAGCTGGTGCACGAGGAAACTGTTGCTGTAGAGGTTCTTCATCTTCCCAGGTGGAGAGAGTGTCAGGGAGGTAGGACCAGCGCACCAAAACTTGAGGGATATCATTTTGCTGACGAAGCCGAAGGTCTAAGATTTCTTGAGGCACCTGCAACTGATTAGAAATGTCAGGTAGCTCTTGACTTACCATAGCAGCAGGTGGAATGGCCTTCTTTAGTTGGGATACATGGAACACCGGATGTATAAGACAATCTGGAGGCAGCTGCAGACGATAAGCTGATTGACCAATCTTTTCAGTTATCAGAAATGGCCCAATCTTTTCAGGTTCAGTGATCTCGCCATCAGCAGTGGTCGTCGCCGCGCCGTCGGTGACAAACTACAAGTCTACAAGGGTGAGAACTGAGAAGTATACATCCTCTGCAAAGGCTACCTTTTGTTATAATGCTACTCCTAAATCACACCTTTAACAAGCAGCTCGTTTAATATGTAACACCTTTAAAATTTCAGGTTAGCATTCACTAACAATCTGAAAAGGAATTGATTTGCTCCTTTTTACTTAATCTGGTTCCTTGAGTCATGCTCTTTCTGAATAGCATCTTTTGATTATGTTCAGGGACTCTCGTTTGCTGACGGACTGTCCAGTTTAATTTATTTATTTTCCTCATACAAAGTAAAATAAATAAAAGAGAAAAGGTTTCTCTGTGCCTTCTGTGGTAGACGCATGCATGTAACCGGGAAGTTAAAATGCATAGGAATAAACAGCTGATACCAGAGCATCCGGTAGTCCGGCATAATGCTGCCTACATTCAGAACCAGGGCAGCAGCTTCAGAATATCAGTATTAATTTGCAGATAAGTAGAAAGGAACACTTGTACAATAGTACTATAGTGACGAAGATAACGATGACCTCCTGTCCTGCAAACATGTACTTGCAAGAAAAAGATCCAAGACAAGTTAGTAGTAAATACTAAATTAACAGTCTGATAGTACACTTAAACTAGGACTTTTTGAGCTGCCATTGGACTGAAAGTTTCAGACAAGCCGAGTGAATCTTTCCTGAGTAATCAAACTAAGCTAACATAACAATCACAGGCAGAACCGTGTCTGTTCTTAAAATAATTTATCCAGCAAGCTGTACATAGTGTCCTGTACAGCTATATATTGATAGATCTTTGGTTACTTCGCCTGCAGCATGTCCTCGCAAGAACTCCCTCAGACGTATGTTTCAGCTTGTTCCAACGGAGTTGCATTCAACTTTACATGTCTGTTTCCATGTCCTGGAACAGAGATAACATATATAGCATATATAAATACATGTGCATCTAATATACATACGGTATGCAGGTTGCGTCGTGGTCCTTAGTTAACTAAGGTTACGTTGTCGATGAGGTCAAAATATCTCTGTCGAGCGAAGAGAGAGTCCAACAGTTAGTGCCTGTGCCTTCTTGTCGTCCTCGTCTCTAGCTGTAAAGTCTTATTTGTATTTTGGGGGCCTGCATATGCTGCGAAACTATGCCGCTTTAGATCCCAATTTTTTTAGCAGAAAACGAGGTTTTTTTTTATGACTATACGAGTATGTATCAACTGACAGTATTTTGACATTGATACATGCTGCATGATGTATGTAAATGCGTCAGGGCACGTACAACGGGCTTCCAAGTGCCGTCTGTATGATGTAATTTTTGCAAAATACTTCCTCGCGAACTGCATTCAAAGAAGAGAAAGATGCAAGCCGTCGTATGGTGAAACGACGGCATCGGCTCGTGCTCCCACGCCAAACCGACGCTTCGCGCTGCGTTGTATGAATCGTCGACTCGAGCGCCAAATTCTCAGGCTTGAGTGCGGTAGATGGTGGGTTGCAGATGAGCGAGTCGAGCGGCATCCTCTGTGGGCGGAATTAAGCTGTCCACGAACCGCCGACGCTGTGTCGAGGGAGGCAAAGGTCCAGGCGCGTGATGGTGTAGCTCTTTCTAATGAGCGACGCTACCTGCAGCTTCTGGTCATCACTGCTGTTCATGGCGAAGTGACTATTCGGAGGTGGTGAGTGGCCGCGAGCTCGTCGGCGGTACTTGTATGCAGGCCGAGGAGCGAGAAATCACCGGCTTCAAGGCCGGTGCAAGGAGCTCGCCGCACAGCTCATCGCCCAAGCAAGGCCGAGTATTGGAATTTTGTCTCACCATGATGGAGGAGACGCCAGAGAGAATACAAAAGAGATAGGAAGAGAAAAAAAAACGAAGATAAGAACCACACGGTCACGAGTGAGCAGAGGCAGAGGATAGGAAGATATAGAGCAATTGTTTTTTGTCATTGTTTTTTCTTTACTTCCCATCTATTTTTAATATATTTCTAATTTGTTTATGCTTGATCTTTTGTAGCAACGGTTGTCTTATTTATGCTTAATCTTTTTTTTATCAACAAGCAACACAATGGTATATATGAATCATATTTCGGCTTGATCATGACTACATGCAGGCATTAAATAATTAACAGACAACTAAACACACAACCCACTGTACACGCTGTCTGTTTAGCTGTTTGTATGTAGTACGACGTCATCATACAGACAGCAAGCCGTCTGTGGGTTGTACATGCCCTGAGTAGTTAGGTTAGCAACACTTGATCCGAGGGAAAAAGACAGTTTCGGAGATATTTATAAGAAAGGACACACTAATCACACAAACAGTAGTGGACAGAGTCAAGTAGAAACATTATTAGTGGCGTGCCTATTGGTGTGCTGTGCAAAACCTGGTGGCCAGCTATTCAGCTGCGTCCATTGGTTAACAATGGAATTCTATTCCAGAAAGAGCTACTCTATTTTTGCTTTTGAGGTGAATGGATATTAAGCATTTTGAAGAACTATCCGTGTCAGTTATTAAAAGTAACTAATAATTTTTGCCCGCTTTCTGCATGTTAGGTGGAATTAAAGCTAGGGCAAAATTTGTCACTGTTTAGCCAAAAGAACTACTATACTCCCTCCATACCTACAAAGGAAGTCGTCCTGGCTCACACCACCGATTTCGCAAAGCTTGTCGTCTTGGCCGTGCGGTCGTGGTTATGGACGCGTTTGCCCCTGCATTAATCACGGAGTCCGTCGTTCCGCGCATGTTTATCGTTCCACGAGCGTGCACAGCGGCAGTAATCGTGGCCGCTTCGTTTCACTCGACGCCCGTTCGCACGCCTCCCTTAAACGCCGCGCCCCTTCATCTACCACAGCCTCGCCGCGCGCCTTCATCTACAGCATCGTCTCGCCGCTCTCCGTCGAGGACTCCGTCGAGCCATGGACGACGTCGAGGCGTTGCTCTCCGTCAAGGACTCCGTCGAACGTGCCACGCGAACGTTTCACAGCGAAGAACAAAAATTTGAAAACGAACTGCGCGCGCTTCAAAATTTTTTGGCAATGAACGCATGCAGCGCGCGCCATGCAGCAGCAGCACTCCACAGCGAGCAGCGCGCGAGCCAACAATGCCATGCAAAAAAGATTCGGCAGCAGCAGCCACAGGCAAAAAAGTTTGAGTCCGCGGGGTTTTGAACACAGCACCACCGGCCTCAGGACTAGCTGCGCTAGCCAGTAAAACTCAGTAACTTTCTTCTATGAAATGCAGCCACAGGCGTATTTATTAGAGATAAATAGGGAAAACTCTACTATAACTCTACCCTAATTAATCACTCCTTGATAAACACAATTATATCCTAAACGACTTTCTTTCTAGTTACGGAGGAAGTATGTAAGCCGGGCATCTTCTCCGGGTTTTCATTGCACCAAGTCCCCAGGCATATGCCAGAGCTGA